TAATGCAAATACTTCTGTAAAATGGGATTTACAATGTTGTATGCCGATATGTTAGGACTATTTTTATTAAATACAAATGGGAATGTGAAAAATAGACAGAATGATATTGAAGTAAATTAGATATTTAAAGTATAAAAAGGCAATTTTACAGCCATACATGCACCAAATTATGGTTCGACTCACTTTTAGTTGCGTAATAAAAATGATGCATTGCAGCGATTCTGACGGCACACTGCAAAATTATGCTAGAAATATGGCTGATTTGATTAATCCAGTTGATGTGGATAATCCTGATGATAGCGAAGCAACTAGCACATGTCTTCGGAGAGATGAATCTTAAAATACCTATCACGGATCGATAAGCTATCTGCAACACTACAAACAAACACATGGATACATGTTTCAAGGTATCAATAATGATCGGCCCAGCACTAGCAAACTATTTAAAGTAATTGATTTCATCTGGAATCAACATGAACTAAGCAAATTAGAAAATATCAGAAGAATGCTGTTAGATTGTGATGATAGTGCCATAAACAACCATTTCGTGGAGTTGAAGGCAGTGCTCATGAAGTTCACTGCGATGACTTTGAAATCAAAAAAAAGACTAAGCCAGGTTAAAAAAAGAAGGAGCGAAAGTAAGAACATTGTTGATGCAATTAGCGAGCACATGAAAGAGACATATCATAATACTATTAAGGGTTAGAGAAATGAAAAAGCTATTTGATGCAATATTTGCGCGAGCAACAAAGAGCACATATGATAAAAACATCCGTGACTTTTTCCATTTACTTGCTATCTCTATTAATATGGAAGATTATGCAAATGCGGCGAATACAAATGAAATTACAGTTAGCGAAGTGCGCGAATTCTATTATATATGCACTGAGTTCAAATACAGTGCTTTACGACCATTTCAAAATTGTAGTCCTTTTTCACATACTCTGACGGGTTTGTTCTTTACTTCGCTGCATCTATTTCACGACACAGGGGTCCGTGAAAAATGCTTGTTGTTTCCCGAATTTGTCTGTTTGTGCAAGTGGTTATAAAAATTCTGTGCTCTCAATCCAAGAGTATATATTCGCTACAAG